GACCCAGGAGTCCAGGCCCCCGGCCCCTCCTCCCTCAGACCCAGGAGTCCAGGCCCCTAGGCCCTCCTCCTTCAGACCTAGGAGTTTAGACCCTGGGACCCCTCCTTACCCAACAGTCAGGAGTCCAGGCCTAGCCCTCACCCTTCGGAGATCCTTAGGGACCCTAGACCTTGGCCAGCAGCCCTGTGTCCTCCCCACCTTCAAGATTCCAGCCTCTGGCCTCCCACACACCACTCGCCCACTGGGCACCCAGGCTTCTAGCTTTGATCTCCAGGCACACAGCCTTCAGCCCCAAGCCCTCTGCACAAACACCCTCCTGTCCCAGGCCCTGGACTGAACCCTGTCTCTGTTGCACCTACCCCCAGGTGGACAACTCCTCCCTGACTGGCGAATCCGAGCCCCAGACTCGCTCTCCCGACTGCACACACGACAATCCCTTGGAGACTCGGAACATCACCTTCTTCTCCACCAACTGTGTGGAAGGTGAGGCGGGTGCAGAGAAGACACACAGCTGGAGCAGACACAGGGACGTGTCCCAAGGGGTCAGGACCTCTGGAACCTCCCTGAGCCACCCCACCTCAGCCTAACCCCTCTGGCCTGCAGGCACGGCTCGGGGCGTGGTGGTGGCCACGGGCGACCGTACTGTCATGGGCCGCATTGCCACCCTGGCCTCAGGGCTGGAGGTGGGCAAGACGCCCATCGCCATCGAGATTGAGCACTTCATCCAGCTCATCACTGGCGTGGCTGTCTTCCTGGGCGTTTCCTTCTTCATCCTCTCCCTCATTCTCGGATACACCTGGCTCGAGGCTGTGATCTTCCTCATCGGCATCATCGTGGCCAATGTCCCAGAGGGTCTGCTGGCCACTGTCACTGTAAGGCCGGGCTCCTGCGTCTGCGCGGGGAGGGCCTGGGGGCCTGGGCCCCTGAGCCTGAGGGAGGAGGGGCTGGAGGCCTGGACCCATGTGTCTAGGGGAGGTGGGAGTGGGGTCTGGATCCCTGGGGCTGGGAAAGAAGGGGCTGGGGGCCTGGGCCTCTGAGTCTGAGGGAGGAGGGGCTGGAGGCCTGGACCCATGTGTCTAGGGGAGGTGGG